GTGGGAGCGCTACCAAAGTAAGAATATGACCCTCGAGTCCGACTAAGGCTGATACCGCCGAACACATCTGAAAGAAAAACAAGGTATAATAACGGAAATAAATCCAGAATCAGTGAATGGGCAAAACCCGACAGAACCCATCATAGGAGCATGACAAAAATGCGTGTACCCCCTGGGGAGATGAATACCCGTCCTCAGGAATTGGAAAGGGAATTCTAAGCAGAGCGAGGCCCGCTGACAACAGTCGTATGTGCTACCTAATATAATTAATATGGCAGTCCCCGGTAATAAAGTGACCAAACAATACCCGAACCCTGTAAAAGCGGTAGAAAAATTAGGAGATCCGTACCAGACCCAACTACGTCAGGGTCACCATGCAGACCAAAGTCTCACAATCCCCAAGATCAAATGAGCAAGGGTCCAGGGAATCCAGGAACTAGGTTCGACTCTGCCGAAGCGGAGATCATAACTCCAAAGTACCAGCAGACCGAGGGAACCTGTGGAAAGGTCCTGAGACCAAACAAACGGAGGAGACTCGTCCGCATCTCCATGTCGAACACTCCTGGAGGGAAGTGTCCATCGCTGAGCAAACGGGTCCGTCATCCAGCCGAACTGGTCGGGGCCGGATTGGTCCTCCTCCGTGGACTAAAGTCTTGATGCCGGATCCTCCCAGAGAAAACTATTCCATACGTATGAGAACTCGGGCAGAGGAGAGCGTAGGAGGCACCCCATTGCATCCAATCCTCCTCCAGGACTCTACTCCTTGAGATGTAGAGGAGGTCGATATTTCCCTGGTTGAAAACGAAATCCAGGGACTCAAACAAGAGAAAACGCAGGTCGTGTCGACCTTTCGGTCTGGGAGGTACCTCACAGGGGGTCCGGCAAGCCTGTCCAGGTAGACCGTACAGCAAGATGTCCTATATCGATGAAGAGTCGTGTCCGGGTCCCAACGCATGGAAAACGAGAAAGATCTCTTCAGATAGTTCTGGTAATCCTGAATGTCCTCAATTCCTCCCAACCTGCCAACCAGGTTGTATTGTCACCCAAATGACTGATTCACGAGATATGCATCTCACCAGGGAGAAAATAGAGGCCACCTTACCGGATCCCTAGAAGCTTCTTGAGGGCCCCGTCTAATTCAAAGTAACTAATGAATATAAGTTCAGATCCCTTTATCCCAAACACCTCCAGCGGTCCAAATTGCATTTAGGATAGGGTCGTCTGCCACCCCAGACTCCGGGCCCCATCGGGGATGTCATCCGAAAGTGGAGGCAAGTGTAAAATTCCAGGTCAAGGGTCCAATCCCCTATAAAAGGTACGGGTTGGAGCTGAGATAAGCCTCCGTCAAGTATTTCCATGTAAAAAAGGACACATATACTTCCTCGTATGTTCCGCTAGCACAACTCACTCATTGGGGTCGAAGTCTGGGTTTGTGGCTACTTTGTTCGGGAGCTCGGCTGGAAATACCACTCAAATTATCCTGCGGGCTTCTCAAGCCAGTGGTCTACGGGCCCAGAAACGCAACGATGGTGCTAGGTGATTAGGCAGAGACCATTCCAAAGAAACCAGGTGAGCAATGGATCGAGGGTCGAGCAGGGGCTCGTTTAAGGCGATCCACGAGATGACCTCTTCTTCCACGGTCGTCAGGGCCCCTGTAGTAGACTTTGTTCTACATCTCATGCTGCCACTAGGGGCCATCATCATAATCCACACCCCCATCGTCCTCTCCCTCCGAGGGGAACCGGTCCGCCCGCCATTCAGCTAGGGCGGCCATGGTGGGGGGGGTTACGGGGACCTTCACCCCTGCGCCACATATGCAGTGTCATCTGGTCGCCAAGGCCGATCGTATCAGGGCTAGACACTTCTCTGGAGTCTAATCTTTCTGGGCCTTCACCCTACCCGTAGTGCTTATGCGCCCTTGCCTGCTCTCCACTCGGAGAGTCTGACTGCTTCAAGTCATCTGCCTTTTTAAGAAGGTGTTCATTGCCGCGTCTGGTGGACATTGCCTCCCCCGCGCCATATAGGCAAAGCCGTCTGGCCGATTGCAGAGGGGATAGCCGCTCCTCTGAGTCTTATCTTTCCGGGAGCCTGGTTCAGGGCATTCACCCTTCCAGTAGCGATCATGCGCACTTGCCTGCTCCCCTCAAGGAGAGTCTAACTCCTTCAAGTTGCCTGGTGTTTTAAAAGTGGGCCCTCTACCGTTACACCCCTGATAAGCTTAAGGGAGGACCCTGGCTGAAAGCTAATTCCACGGGGGTGGTCACTGCCATAGTAGTCACTGTCTGCGCTGTTAACCCAGATAAGGGTTCTCCTGTGCAGCGGTCCCAGGCAAAGCGACCTTAAGGAGTATGGACGACAAGTGTCACCGGCAGGGAGGTAGGGGCAGCACCCCATATAGTGACCTAGGCAAGTAGGGCAGCGCATGCAATGCACAAGCATGAGTATGTGGCAGTAGGCTTGGCATGCAGACATTCTGGCACACACAGCACAGGCCAGATCAATGGGGCACAGACAAAGCAGGCCAATCAATGGGGCACAGACAAAGCAGGCCAATCAATGGGGCACAGGCAGAGCAGGCCAATCAGTAAGGCACGGACAAAGCCAGTCAAGTCCTGGGGCACAGACAAGTCAGGACCTTCAGAGATGTACAGGTGAGGAACTGCGCATTCCATTCTTCCGATAAAATGTACCTTTCGCTCTTCAGATAAGATGTACATAACACTTCTTCAGATTAATAGTACATAACACACTTCTGTATAACTGTAATTAACACTCTTCTGTGTAACTGTGCGTAACCTTCTTCTGTGTAACTGTACATAACACTCTTCTGTGCAGCCGTACATAACATCCTTCTGTGTAAACATACAATACATTCTTCTGTACATACATAGCAATTTTCTGTGTAACTATACATAGTATATTACTGTGTAACTGTAACTGTACATAGCATTCTGTGTAACTGTACATAGTATATTACTGTGTAACTGTACATAGCCTTCTACTGTGTAACTGTACATAGCATTCTTCTGTGTGACTGTACCTAGCATTCCATTGTGTAACTGTAGATAACGCACTTCAGTTAAATAGTGCCTGACACTCTGTAAATAGTGAACTTGCATATTGAGTACAAATGTAGTCAGGGAACTCACCAACTGAGTTACCTCACAAGAGGTGCTTCATCAGTCAATATGATAAAAAAGAGCGCTGCAAGCAATCATCTGAACAAACAAAAAAGGGGGGGATGAGTATAAGTGGTAACACTGCCAGTTGTGCCTGTAACCCTTGAGGGGTTGTGCACAGCTCTATATAGCATGCCTGTGATCTATATCATCCACTATGGTCCCCAGTAGCCTAACCTGCCAGCCACATGGGGCACAAAGCCAGGACAGCCTGAGGGTGCAATGCGCCCAAGTCATAGCTGAGTCCCAGTCAAAGCTACAGCACATGTGCCTGCCATTGACGGAACTAATGTGGTAAGTCTGGTAACAGTCCGGCCCCGCCCCCACCCGACCACGCGGTTGCGGGAAAGTGGATGCTTGGGGCCACCGAAATTGCATGGAAAGGTAACCCCCCACCCATGCCGCGGGAGCAGTTATACCACGAGCGGATGGGGGTGGAAACAGAGGATCCAAAAAGTGGGACCGCTAGAGTCTTACTCCGGGGTCCCGGCGGTCGGCAACGTAAAGCGGTCTAAGGACCACTTTCCGGCGGCCGCAAAACAGACGAAAAGTGAAGGGGGGAAAGCCACCCGGAAAAGGTAGAGGGAGGGAGGGAAAAAATGAAAACCCCCAAACCCGAGAAAAAAACGATCCCCAGACAGGGGGGCCCAAAACAGGAAAATGCAGAAAAGTCATAAGAGAAAATACATTCCTACAGCAAAAAAGTAGGGACAGAAAAATACAATCTAAATAAATAAATCATAACGGCAGTAGGAAGGTAAACACATTATAAACAAATAAATCCCTGCAGCCATAAGAAGGTAGATGCAGAAAAACAGAGTAAATAAATCAACCAATCAAGCAATCACTACAGCACTAAGCAGGTAGGTGAAGAAAATACAGTATAGCTAAATAAATCAGTCCCTACAGCACTAAGTAGGTAGATGCAAAAATACCCTCTAAATAAATAAATCAATACAGTAATAAACATAAATACAGTAAAATATCCACAACCACCCATATATAACAGGAGGCAGTGGTACTCTGACCTGTACTGACTGCGGAGCAGCAAAGAAAGAGGAAATAGTTCGCTGGGAGAAGCCTTTTATAGATTCCTGATTTTTTTTGTCTCTGGTGTTTTTATCTCTATGTTAATGTGCTGCTGTGGAGTTCTAGTAAAGAGAGACTTAAGCAAATATGAAGCCTCCTGTCATGCTATAAAATTATAATTTCTTATTTTTCTATACTTTCCAGTTGGAGAGCTTTCAAAAAAGATTGTGCACTAACTCATTGTCAAATACATTGAAAATCTTGTTATGTGTGTGTGACATACAGGTACAACACCTTGGATATATGAAAATGAAAGGTACAACACCTTGGATATATGAAAATTAAAGGCATAATACCCTGAATATATAACACTTAAAGGAAAAGAGCCTCAGATTAGTATCTATTTGTCTGTATGTGTGTGTCTCTCTGTGTGTTTGTGTGTGTGTGTGTGTGTGTGTAATATATATATATATATACACAGGTGATACTTGAAAAATTAGAATTAGAATACCGTGCAAAAGTTCATTTATTTCAGTAATGCAACATAAAAGGGGAAACTAATATATGAGATAGACGCATTACATGCAAAGCAAGATGGTTCAAGCTGTGATTTGTCATAAGTGTGATGATTATGGATTACAGCTCATGAAAACCCCAAATCCACAATCTCAGTAAATTAGAATATTGTGAAAAGGTGCAATATTCTAGGCTCACAGTGTCCCACTCTAAGCAGCTAAGTAAGCCATAACACCTGCAAAGGGTTCCTGAGCCTTTAAATGGTCTCTCAGTCTTGTTCAGTAGGAATCATAATCATGGGGAAGACTGCTGACCTGACAGTTGTGCAGAAAACCATCACTGACACCCTCCATAAGGAGGGAAAGCCTCAAAAGGTAATTGCGAAGCAAGTTGGATGTTCCCAAAGTGCTGTATCAAAGCACATTAATAGAAAGTTATGTGGAAGGGAAAAGTGTGGAAGAAAAAGGTGCACAAGCAGCAGGGATGACCGCAGCCTGGAGAGGATTGTCAGGAAAAGGCCATTCAAAAGTGTTGGGGACTTTCACAAGGAGTGGACTGAGGTTGTAGTCAGTGCATCAAGAGCCACCACACACAGACGGATTCTGGACATGGGCTTCAGATGGCTTCCTCTTGTCAAACCGCTCCTGAGCAACAAACAACGTCAGAAGCGTCTTACCTGGGCTAAAGAAAAACAGACCTGGTCTGTTGCTCAGTGGTCCAAAGTCCTCTTTTCTGATGAGAGCAACTTTTGCTTCTCATTTGGAAACCAAGGACCCAGAGTCTGGAGGAAGAATGGAGAGGCACACACTGCAAGATGCTTGAAGTCCAGTGTGATGTTTTCACAGTCTTTGTTGATTTGGGGAGCCATGTCATCTGCTGGTGTTGGTCCACTGTGCTTCATTAAGTCCAGGGTCAACGCAGCCATCTACCAGGAGATTTTGGAGCACTTCATGCTTCCTTCTGCAGACGAGCTTTATGGGGATGCTGACTTCATTTCCCAGCAGGACTTGGCACCTGCCCACACTGCCAAAAGCACCAAAGCCTGGTTCAATAACCATAGGATTACTTACATGATTGGCCAGCAAACTCGCCTGACCTGAACCACATAGAGAATCTGTGGGGCATTGCCAAGAGAAAGATGAGAGACACAAGACTGAACTATGCAGAAGAGCTGAAGGTTGCTATTGAAGCATCCTGGTCTTCCATAACACCTCAGCAGTGCAACAGGCAGATAGCTTCCATGCCACGCCGCATTGAGGCAGTAATTGCTGCAAAATGGGCCCAAACCAAGTACTGAGTCTATATGCATGCTTATAATTTTCAGAGGTCCAATATTGTTCTATGTACACTCCTTGTTTTATTGATTGCATGTAATATTCTAATTTACTGAGATTGTGGATTTGGGGTTTTCATGAGCTGTAAGCCATAATAATCGCACTCATGACAAATCACAGCTTGAACTATCTTGCTTTGCATGTAACGCATCTATCTGCATGCATATTAGTTTCCCCTTTTACATTGCATTACTGAAATAAATTAACTTTTGCACGATATTCTAAATTTTTGAGTATCACCTGTATATTTATATATTTATTTTATAAACAACTCCCAGGGCACAAAATATATATTATTTATCACAGTGATTAATCATATATTTATGTGATTTGGGAGCTGTTATATTGTTACTTACCTGCTGTCCCTTGCTTCAGATGATCCATGGCTGTTACAGTGCTGTAACATGCACCCACCAGGCTGCCCCTGTCTGTTGTGATTGGTCCTGCTTGTGGATGAAATTATCTATGCTCATGCAGACATCAGCATATTGGCATTAGTGTGGCAAATGTATATATTAAAAAACTTGTTCCATAAGTCAAACAAGCTCACTGACACATTCAAACAAGCTTATTGGCTTATACACCAAACTTACTGCAGACAAGCTCTCTGACACACACAGGTTGACTACAAGCAAACACACTGGCACAAACAAGTTGACTCCAGACAAGTTTACTGACACACACAAGCTCAATGACACATACAGAAAAGTTCACTACAGACAAGATCCCTGACACACACCTACAAGCTCACTACAGACAAGTTCACTGAAAGATACACACAAGGTCACTACATGCAAGCTCACTGATGCACACATGCTCTCTGCAGAAAATCTCACTGATACTCAATCTCACTGTAAACAAGTACATGGCGTCCCTACACTAGGTCTACCAAAAAAGGAATCCCCATCCTAGTTGTAATGCTGGAAAAAATCGATTAAAACTTAACCTTTATTGTTGATGGGTAAAACTATGTAAATACACGAAAAATATAAAATAAATGAATTAACAATATAAGGAGTGCCACAACTGTGGGTATAAACAGTGAAAATAGAAGGTATAAATAATAATGGTAATGATCCTTTGCAATATCCTTCAAATATCACTTTAAGAGAGAAATCTAGCTTGAGTCTAGAAGCCAAAATAGGGTAAATTATAGGGAGGAAAGAGAGAGGAGAATTGTAAACAGTGCTGTGGGCTGCTAGTGGAAAAAAGGAAGGTTGTTGGATACTAAATCACAGACTGTATCCAGTACGAAATAAAAACTAGGATACACTGTATACCAATGACCACTGAGTGGTGAGTGAAATAGATAATGTTGCTACAAAACACTGCAGTAAGAGGGAATAAACTGAGTGGAGAGGGATGCACTGTGGAGATAGAATAAACAAACAGAGTCCTCCCCTCCTCACATGTCCCCCAGAGAACCTTTCCGCTGATAACACAAAATCTGAAATCTAAGTAGCCGTGATCACTTAAGTCTAACCTACCTAGTAGCAGTGTTAAACGAAAAAGCCTTTCAAATCCCCCCAAAAATCCCTTGCGCTGCGGCAAATTGCTGGAACCTAAATGCTCGTACTCGCTCTAAGCTAGAAACAGATGTGGTGAACTCCTATATAAACTACCTAACGCGCGTTTCAGAGCTAACAATGCGCCTTCGTCAGAGGTAAAGAGGTAAAGCAACAGGCTGTCCCCCTCCCGGTCCTTAAATAGGTATGCCGGGTCAGTGAAAATTATGTGGGCGTGTCGTGTGTTCGCGCCCAAACGGCGTTTGAACACGCTCCTCCCCCTAATGTGAATGATTGATAGAGCATGCTAGTGTTCCCATTAGAGAACTATCACCTAAACATTGCGCTGGTTATAAATGAAATATATAAGATATAGATGAATACCAGTATATACAATCTAAAGGTTGATCATTTAAAGTACTACTGTTAGGTGGATTAACCAAATACAGTAGAATAAAGAAAATTGTTTACAAGAAATTATGTGCTTTTCATAATACACAAACATAAACAAAATATGTTTATACTGGCACATAAAGAGCTTATAATCCTAATCATACATGGTGGGGTAACAAATTGTTGGACAGTAAAAAACTGATGACCGCGCTTCACATATACTTTAAAAGGGGACAGGGCTTTTCAATCTATTTAAATCAATAAGAAACAAAAGTATTTACATATATATGTGTATATAAATAATAATAATGCATTAGAAAAGATGTTTATATATTGTTCACTGTGTAACTCATTATTCAATGTAGGGAGTGAACGTAAACCCTTCATTTAATCCATTGGGGGCCAATGTATTGAATTTGTAAATCCAGAAGCATTCCCTTTTGAGGAGGGTACGATCCAGGTCACCTCCTCTGCGACCTAAATGCACTTGAACCTTAGACTTACAATGGAGATTGGTGGCTCTACACTCAATTTCTTAGATTGCACCTTCAATATCTCCAAAGATTTAGGGATTGAAACCACTCTCTATAGAAAGCCAACCTCAACAAATACCATGCTGAGATGGGAGAGTCATCACCCCATCACTCTGAAAAAAGGTATTCCGGTTGGTCAATACCTACGTCTGAGGAGGAATTGCTCAACTATGAATGAATTTATCAATCAAGCAAAACTCCTCAGGACTAGGTTTAAGGAGAGGGGTTATCCCAATCGCTGCCTCAAAAATGCTTACCAGAGGGCCTTACTGAGTGATAGAGGAGATCTCTTAAGAGACAAAGAGCCCCCAATAAAACAGGAACTCATTCGCTGTGTAGCCACGTTTGACTCTGGATGGGATCAAACCAAACGGATATTAGGTAGGTTCTGGCCTCTGATCTCTCAAGATCCCCAACTCAAAGGAGTAGTAACTCCATTTGTTTCCCTCACAGCACGCAGAGGCAAAAATTTGAAAGAAGTTTTGGTTCCTAGTCATTTGTCCACTAAGAGTGCCACTACAAATTGGCTCTCTGTACAGGGCACCTACCAATGTGGCAGATGTGTGGCCTGTCAGTACATGATGAAAGACTCAAAAGTCTTCTCAGATTTAACTGACAATTCGGTGTGCCAGATTAAGCAATTTTTCAATTGTAATACAAAGGGTATCATATACTTACTGACATGTGCATGTGGCCTGAGATATGTGGGGAAAACCATACGCCCCTTTAAGAGACGTGTCATGGAACACATACACTCTGTCAGAAACTTTAGAGATACCCCAGTTTCTAGACACATCAGAAATGATCATCATGGTGATACACGAGGGATCAAATTTGCAGGTATCGAAAAGGTGCATTTAGGTCGCAGAGGAGGTGACCTGGATCGTACCCTCCTCAAAAGGGAATGCTTCTGGATTTACAAATTCAATACATTGGCCCCCAATGGATTAAATGAAGGGTTTACGTTCACTCCCTACATTGAATAATGAGTTACACAGTGAACAATATATAAACATCTTTTCTAATGCATTATTATTATTTATATACACATATATATGTAAATACTTTTGTTTCTTATTGATTTAAATAGATTGAAAAGCCCTGTCCCCTTTTAAAGTATATGTGAAGCGCGGTCATCAGTTTTTTACTGTCCAACAATTTGTTACCCCACCATGTATGATTAGGATTATAAGCTCTTTATGTGCCAGTATAAACATATTTTGTTTATGTTTGTGTATTATGAAAAGCACATAATTTCTTGTAAACAATTTTCTTTATTCTACTGTATTTGGTTAATCCACCTAACAGTAGTACTTTAAATGATCAACCTTTAGATTGTATATACTGGTATTCATCTATATCTTATATATTTCATTTATAACCAGCGCAATGTTTAGGCGAACACACGACACGCCCACATAATTTTCACTGACCCGGCATACCTATTTAAGGACCGGAAGGGGGACAGCCTGTTGCTTTACCTCTTTACCTCTGACGAAGGCGCATTGTTAGCTCTGAAACGCGCGTTAGGTAGTTTATATAGGAGTTCACCACATCTGTTTCTAGCTTAGAGCGAGTACGAGCATTTAGGTTCCAGCAATTTGCCGCAGCGCAAGGGATTTTTGGGGGGATTTGAAAGGCTTTTTCATTTAACACTGCTACTAGGTAGGTTAGACTTAAGTGATCACGGCTACTTAGATTTCAGATTTTGTGTTAT